ATGTGTGTGTCATATTTGAAGCAGTCAAATTTACGTGATGAGAACATAAGCATTGCCAAGGCGTGGCTGTGAAGGAAGCGCCCAGGGCCGGGTGGACAGAGATGATCCCAGGGCTGCTGCTTTAGGTCGAGCGCTCAGGGAAGACGCCTGCAGAAATGGAGCCTAGACTTTGAGCCCTGTGGTGGCAGCCACAGGGAGAGCCAGGCCACAGAGTCCCAGGAGGGGAGTGGCCAAAGCAAGACCTCTGGCAGGAAGGGTAGGCACATGGTCACCGACAAAGGGGCAGCACAGGGCAGAGTAAGTGATGGGACAGCACGAAGTCAGGAGAGGACAGAGGCAGCTTACAAGGGCAGAACAGCCATTTAGTTTGTGGTGTTCCCTCGCCGCGTGACTCTCCCACAGGGAGGGAGGCATTCTTGAAGGCATCGTATGTGCAGGATCCCAGGGGTGAGACGTAACTCCAGTGCAGCTGACGCTTCCTGAATGTCCATGTCATGCCAGGCCTTCCTGAGGATTTTAGCTAGCCCAGCTCACCCTTCTTACAGTCAGTATTGGCTCCATTGTACAGGTGGAAACACTGAGGTGCAGACTCCTTGGGCTTTGTCCAGTGAGACACAGCTAGGGTTGACTAAATGTATTTGTTTCCTTGGTGGTGAGAAAAAAGTGTAGTTGACTGGCAGGTGGCCAAATGCAGACTGAAACACCGGTCTGCAGCTCACACCCCTCCCCAGGCCCCTGCTGCTGGGAGCTGGCCCTCTCCGGCCGAGTGTGTGAGCTTGCTGTGTGAAGAATTTGACAAAGTTAATGTTCCTGAAGCTCCTTCCTTTCGTGAGTGCTTTATGATCTGTAATTTCTTCCCTGAAATCCTCATACCATTTTTTGTCACCTTCAATGATTTCCTTCTCTGTCTGAACTGCGAGTTCCCTGATTTCTTTCGATTTCCCTGTGCCTGGCCCAGCCAAGCGGAAACACGAGCTGGGCCTTTCGTTGAGCACTGGCCCCTCAGGGCCGCTGGGGGCTGAGCAGTCATCTGGGCCTCAGGAAAAGCCGCGCTTGCTTATCAGGAGACCAGGCGGGCTGCAGACGTGCCCTGGTCAGCGCAGTGGGGCGTGCATCACTCTGTTTCAGCTACGGAAGCACTCAAGGCGAAAGCAAGGTTTGTTATTCTCTCCTGCTCTGTCATCAGTGCCCACCCTCAAACCCCAGAGGGCTGTGGCTGTTCCGTCTGAGAAGGAATGCTGAACAAGAAGCTCCGTGAAATACTTTAGCTTGTCCTGTATGCTCAGAGTTTATGGGTGCAGCCAGCCACCTCCGCCTTGCTTAAAAGAGCTAATGTTTCTGTGTCATTTTTAAGCTGCAATCAACTACCTCATGTTTCAGTTCAATGATTTCAAGCCCTTACAGGTTAACTATGATTTTTCTCTTTGACTCCACTTGTGCTGATATACCTGGGTAAGAACAGGGCAGCCCAAACAAGTGAGCTCATCCCATACTAAATGGCTTTGTCAGGGCTGCACTACCTGGACAGTATCGACCAGCCCAGGGGACTGTGGGTCACCCTGCTGTGACTCCTCCGAACTGACACATGTGAGAGGCTCAAATACCCAGAGTCCTAATGCACGGCATTAAAAATTTAAGTCATTTCAATAATTTGCATAACAACTGCAAGTCAGAAATGACAATGTCTTGGACATGCTGGATAAACAGATTATATTAAGAGTTATTTCATCTGTTTCTTTTGGCTTTTTCCAGTCTGACCCTCTACAGTGTAACATCACACATGTGGCTGACACGGAAGTCATGCAAATACCAAACGCGAACCTGACAAGTACTCTTTTATTTGCCCCTCACACCAGTATTCTCTCAATTCTTCCAAAGTTTTAAAAATTAAATAAAGTGCCCCAGCTGCCATTTATGAATGTTCCCAAAACTTTGGGGGTTTTTTTTTGTTTGTTTTATTTTCTTTTGTTTCCTGATTGAGTCAAAACTCTGGTTGGACTTAAATATCCTATAATTTTTTTGTTCTGTATTTAGGACAGGGTCTACAGGGTCTCATTATATAGATTGGACTTGTAGTAATCCTCCTGTTTACAGCCTCCCAAGCACTGGGATTACAGGCACATGCCACCATGCCCAGTCTCAATTGCTGTCCCAGTGCGCCCCAGGGGCGGGCCGGCATGGCACGCCAGGGATCAAAACCCAGCCGCTGCGCTCTGCCTAAGCAGGCGCTTTAGTCTGCTGAGCTATCACACTGGCCAGTATCCTATAATTTTAAGCTTTAATTTTTGTTCATATTTTTTTTTCTTTTTTAATTTTAAATAGAATTTTAAAAACCAAAATATACAAAACAGGGGGCCGGTGAGCTAGAACAGCTGCCTAAGCACCTGCGTGGCAAGTGCAGAAACCCAGGTTCAATCCCCAGCACCACATGCTGCACTGGCCCCGCCTGTAGGTGCACTGAGCCAGCCACCAAGACCAGGCATGGTGGCGCAGGCCTATAATCCCAGCATTGTGCAGGCTGAAAACAGGAGGATCATTACAAGTCCAAGCTATATAGTGAGACCTTGTACCAAATACATACAAATTTTTAAAAAAGTATACAAAACAACAAAAAATAATAAAGACAATACATGATTTCAAAGCAAGGTGATATTAACCTTAACAGTAAAAGCATTTTCAATTTCTATGGAAACTCATAACTTTTTAAATTGGCATATAAACTTGAATATATGTCCGTGCTGTCTACAGCACATGTTTCGGAGAATACAGACATCTTGCCGTGGTTAGGTCCAGCTAATGGGAAGCACACTGCCTCTCTCAGCCGGCGTGTTGTGGTCAGCACACTTAGTGTCCACTCTGCATTGTTTTAGAACGCAGTGAGTCACCATTCGAGTTGGCCATTGTGCTGCACACTGCAAGAGAAGCTTCTAATCTCAAAGGCACTCATGTCATGGCAGAGCTGGGATTATTCCGAGGCAGCGAGTTGTTAGAATTACTGCTATCACCCAAGTGAGAACAATGAGAGAAAAAATAAAATTTATTAAAGCCTGGAGGCCGGTGAGATAACTCAGAGGTCTAAGGTGCCTGCTCAGGCAAGCTCGAGCAAACACAGGGACTGCGGTTTGATCCCCGGACACCACATGCCATGCCAGCCCCACCTCCAGGGCGGGCTGAGTTGACCAAAACAAGAATTATTAAAGCCTAACCTTATGTCAGGAAGGCTTTGACTCTCAGCGTGGCCCAAGCAAAAGTGCGTCTGCTCCTGGACGCATGGCCAGCCGGTGCTGCCTTCATTGGCTCCGTTAGAGCAGTACTTCAGAAACACAGTGACCTACTTTTAATTCGGGAGTGTAACTTTAGCAAAACACTCACTATTTTTTTTTTTCTGTGTTTTAAGGAAGGGTCTACAGGGTGTTCAGGGTCTCACTACTAGAGCGGACTCGTAGGGCTCTGCCTGTTTACAGCCTCCCAAGAGCTGGGACTATAGGCACACGCTTCCATGCCCAGTTTCATGTACCATCTCAGCATGCCCCCCTGGGGGGGAGGCAGCACGGCAGGTCCAGGGATGAACCCCAGGACCCTGTGCCTGCTTGCAGGTGCCTTAATCCACTGAGCCCTCATTCACCATTTTTAAAAGTTAAATTTGTTTAACTTTTAAAAGAATAGTTCTAGTTGGCTTCCATATGCATGTTTATGTAAATTGGAATTACTTAGAAGATATCCCCAAATAGTCTCTTTCCCATGCCTCATTTATTCATGGCTGTAATCAGCACGTACTGCTGCCTGCCGCCAGCAAGGAACCCTGGGAGCCCCTGGGGAGCCATCCATGAAGAAGACAGAAGAACCAGCCGAGCCGCTAGCAAGTTCAGTATCGATAACAGGAAGCTGCAGTGCATGGCGTGTTGCAGAAACACACAGCAGGAAAATGCTCCCGGGGCTCCGAGCCGGGAGGGCTTTGTGGGCGACCGCTGCCCAGCAGACCCTGGAGATCAGAGGGCAGGAGCAGGCGTGTGCGCCTACGAGGGAGAACACGGAGGCCCTGACGGACAGGGGACGGCACAGGCCAGCCGCCCGGCCCTGCTGCTCCCTGAGGGTCCTGAGACACCAGGCCCGAGGTCTGAGAGCCTCTGTGTAGCAAGACCCTTCAGAGCACCTGAGGAGCCTGGGCGGCGGGGATTTTCTATGAAATATTTAACAACTTTCTCTTTAAAAAAAAATTTTAAAGTAAAACACAGCAGTGCAATTTGTCCTAGCTGAATCTTGGAAACAACCCAAATACTCATCAACTGAGGAATAGATTAAAAAAAAAGTTGTGCCATTTTTATACAATGGAGTATTACTCAGCTATAAAAAGGATAAACTTGAGGCTCTGATTGGTAAATGGATGCAACTAAAGGGCACCAAGTGAAATAAACCACACCCACATATGTGAACGTCATATCGCCTCTCTAGTATAACAACCTGAAAGAGTAAGTAAAATCTGAAGGATACAATAGATACTGTGAAAGAAAAAGAAATTGTTCTTTTAAATATACGGGGGCCGAGGAAATAGCTCAGTGGAATAACTGCTTGCCTGGCAAGCGCAAGGGCTTGAGTTCAATCCCTGGTTCCGCCAATAAATAAATATTTTAGGCAGAAGCACCACGACCCGCACCCTGTCCCCCAGTCGTGGTGGGTACTCCGCTGGGGAGAGAGGCGGGCACACCCACTCTCTCTTCATCTTAGGATATCGTTTTGTAGGACGCCATCGTAAGAGTGAAACGCGCCGGACAGGAGGCAGTTAATTTTTAGAATTACACGCGTCTGGACTTCGTGTCCAAATACGCTTAACTGTGGTTTGTAGTGCTTTGTACGGATGGCTGTGCGCGACACTAGTCGGTGACCGAGAAGTCGGTGCCCGCTTAGGCGGCCCTTCCCGCGGTGGTGCGCGGGCCTCGGTGCAGAACTGCCGCCGTGCGGGAGCCGGCCCTCACCCGCTCCTCTTTCTCTCTGTTTTGTAGATCAGCAAGCAGCAGCTGCAGACAGTCAAGGACCGCTTTCAGGCCTTTCTCAACGGGGAGACCCAGATCGTGGCTGACGAGGCCTTCATGAACGCCGTCCAGAGTTACTACGAGGTAAGGAGCATCGCGCAGAAGGCCCGGCTCCGGGAGCCCTGAGCTTCCTGGGGTGTCGCTCAGAAGGAAGCACCCCAGTCTTCATGCTCGGGGCGCCTGTCCCTGCACCCGAGGGTGGTGTGGTTTTAAGGGATAATAGCATCCTCTATGGGGGAAACTATAAATAGAAGCGATTGCTTTCTAATTTTTGTACCAGGTAAGGTACTGGGTATTTTCCTGAGGATTCCTAACATCCATATGAGATGGCTCCTGATAGAATTTACCATTTTATGGATGGCTGTACTTTCAGTGCATTATTTGCTGGAGAGATTTTGGTTTGGTAAGAATTCCCCTTGCCTGCTAAGGTATTTGGCTCAGTTTTGGGAAACAGCGGTGACTGATAGCAATTAGCTCTTGTGGAGATACTACTCATTGGTTTGTTAAATAGCGCTGAAAAATAAATGATCTTCGTCGCTGTAGCAAAACAGGCTCCAGCTACCAACCCATGTACGCAGCATTTCCTTCGTGGAATTCCTACATGGAGGGCTTTTCAGAGTCAAGGTAATTTTCATATTTTCCCCGATGCAAATATTTTTTAAATTTTATAAATAGCATCTGCTGACGGCAGGGAGCCTCCATCCTGCGGCCCCATCTGACGTGATGTCATCTCTCAGCTGACTGGCAGGGTGATAGGCGTGCAACCTGGTGTCACCGTGATGTATGGCACTGAATAACTCGAATATACCTCACGAAAGATTGGGTGCAGAAGCCACCCAAGGGTGAAATTAATTTTTCCCCTTTTTATCAAGCTCTGAAAGCTGGTGGGAGAAGTCATGCCAGAACTCTTATCAGGCTAGAAAGACCCTTATCAATGCTTGTGTTTACAGGCATCCGCCAGAGTTTATAAATTTGTCGATTACAAATCTTAATTAGAAAGCTCATTTGACTAATGACGGAAATTTCAAATGCCATTTCTATTAATTAAATTTGGGAATTAATAGTCATCACGGTGTTAAAGAGTCTCTGGAACCGCCACGATATCTACCGGGATCCTAATGTTTTCCTCTACAGTCACTAGTTTATTCAAAAGAGCTTTTGTCTTGTGAGGTTCTGGGCACTGAGGAGAGCCTGAACATTTAGCGCTAGGATCTGTGCAGCGTATCAGCGTGGGGCATTGGTGCTCTCGCTGCTGTCTTCATTGGTAAGGCTCTAGAGCATCTTGGATTCACTTTTCTGGGGAAGTCTAATCCTCTAACGTGCAGGCCCTCAATCCGCGGATCAGGATTAGGACTTGCTGGGCACAGCTCCAAGGTCCTTGCCTCCCCATTTGCCCTCCTGTCCCCTTCACTCCTGCGCTCCGGAGAAGTTGCTGCCTCTTTGTCCCCTGACTCTGAGGATCAAGCACACCCCTACTGGCCTCTATTTTGGCCAGGGTTCTTTAGAGCGCAAGTGACAGGCTCCCAACTCAATTGGCACAAGCCTGAAATGAGATTTATCTGTCAAGCCACGTAATCATCCAGGAGCAGGCCTGGCTGCAGCAGCGCGGGATCCGGGGACTCCGGAGTTGCCGGAGAGATGGTGTCTCTCCCGGGCACTGCAGCTCACTTCACTGCTGCCCTCGCTTCACTGTGCCCCAGGTTCTGGCCACACGAAGACGCGGGCTCATCCTGCCACTTACCCACTCCAGGACAGGGCAAACACTTCTCTGAGGAGCCTTCAAAGGCCCAGGGTGGTGTGCCTGATGATCCAGGTGGCATGCGCCCTCCTGAGCCTGTTGCCGTGGGCAGGATTGAGACAGCCTGCAGAGAAGGCCTAGGACTGGCACCCTGGAAGGCTCAAGTTCCTCCTCGGCCCCGGGCCTCCATTGTGGGCTCAGGCTGTGCTCTTGTCCAGAGAGGGCCCTGTGTGCTCCGCTCCGCAGGGGGAACCAACAGAGACTCTTTCTCATTCATTCCTGCGTCCTCTCTCTACCCGTCCTCCTCTTCCTCCTATCTCTTCTCTCTGTGGCTATCTCTCTATGTCTTTGTGTCTCCCTATCTCTGTCTCACTGTCTCTCTCTGTCTGTCTCTCTCTTGCTTGCTCGCTCGCTCACTCTCTCTTGCTCTCTCCCTGTCTCTCTCTGTCTGTCTGTCTCTCTCACTCTCCCTCTCTCTTGCTCTCTCTGTCTCTCTCTCTCTCTCTCTGTCTCTCTCTCTCTCTCTCGCTCTCGCTCTCGCTCTCGCTCTCCACCATACTGGAAATTTAACTATCAACAGCAAAGACTTAGAAAAATTTATAGCTTTTCCTTAAAAAATTCTGAGACTATTTTTGCAGAAAAGCTCATTTTAAACATTTGTCCTTGCTTTGCTAAGGCAATGATTGTCAACATGCTAGAGAGACCTTAATTTTCAGTCAGAGAGGGAGGGAGCAGGGAATTATGGTGCTTCCCCCACCAGCACCTCCTGACCCAGCCAGCCACACTGAGCTGCCAGCAGCACGCTGCTGGGCCCTGAATGCTGAGCTGGGGTGGGACAGAGAAGGCCCAGGTTCCCTCTGGCTCTCAGACACGGGCAGGTTTGTCATTCCCTGGTGGCCCTGCTTGTCAGCGAAGATCAAGCTGGGCAGAAGATTGCTCCTGTAATCCCCTCATCCCAACCGTCAGGGCTGGGCTGGGCTGCGCGCTCCAGGCTCTCCCCCACTGGTGTCCTGCCCACACGCCACAGTCCTGAGACAGCCCACGGCACCCTTTCATGCTGAGTTCTCACAAGAAAATGTCTTAAACTCAAGCCCTCCCTCCTTGCCTCTCTGCTCCATTTCCATTCCTTCAAGGCTGGTCTTGGCAGCACAGAACAGAAGCAGATGGGAAAGTTTCACAAATCTCGGATTTTGCCTGAAGGAAATCTGGGGGCTTTTGTGGCACCAGGCCTGGAGCACGTGGCTGTAGGGGTGAAGCACTCACTCAGGAGCTCTACAGCAGCCGCCTGGCTTCTGCCAGTGAAGCAGCCATGACTGAGGTTGTTTGTTTTCTGCTGTTTCGTTTTGTAGCTAATCTCCTTTAACAAACATGTGGTTCATTTTTGTCAGACTAGTTTTTAATTTTTTTTTTTCAGACAGAAGTCTTCAGTTTTAAGCAATAGCAACTGTGGTTAAATTAAACTCTCATTATAATAAGAGCAACAAAGACTCCTGTTGTTGTAGCTCTCGTTGCTATTAAAAGAAATAACCAGGCTTCAGAACGGGTAGAAGCCAGGGCAGTGGAACATCTGGAAGACGTGTAATGGCTTTCTGCAATGCTCGTGCTGTCATGGGGTGAGTGGACACCAACCTGCTCTCGTCTGTGCCACCCTGCCTCGTCCTGAGACCTGGAAGGAGCAGTCTCTCTGGTGACGTCAGCTCCTGGTCACTACGTGGCTGCAGAAGGCCGGGGCCCTGTGCCCAACAGTCCTGCTCAGACTGTGCCCCGGAAGGGGCTCCTGGGAGGACGACTGAGACACTGCCCTTTAGGACGAGGCTTGGCTGGCAGAACTCATAGGTTTCTTCCACTGGGGTGCAACATGAAATCTTCATGGTTGACCTTTTTGTGAAAAACAATAATGATAATCATTTAAAAACTCATCTGTCCATGCCGGCCCTGCCCCCAGGGCGCATTGAGATGGCAGTTGAGACTGGGCGTGGTGGCGCGTGCCTGCAATCCCAGCTCTTGGGAGGCTGTAAGTAGGCAGATCACTATGAGTCCGATCTAGTAGTGAGACCCTGAACACCCTGTGGACCCTTCCCTAAAACACAAAAATAAATAAAAACTCATCTGTGAGATTGCCCTATTTTTCTAAAATGGAACAACACGTTTTCCAAGAATTAAAACCCTAAAAACTACTCAATGACCTTAAAGCAGACATATCCCTGGGAGAAGAGCATCTGCCCCACAACAGCACCTGTCCCTGTGGGCGAGGCCAAGGGCTGGGCGAGCGTCGGCCAGTGCTGCAGCATAGGCTGCGGCTCCTCGGCCCGTAGCAACACCTGTATAGGCAGAGCCCAGAAAGGTCTGTGATGAATGCACGAAGGCCAGCAGGGGACAAAGGTGGTACAGTGCCCGGATGCTGCACAGAGATGGCCAAAGGAAAAGGCAAGCTGCACGGTCAGGGCACTGTCCAGCTCAGAGTGGAGCAAGTGCTAGGCAGAGACGTCAGGTCAGCTATCACAGCCTCACCTTCCACCTACCACAAGGTCATGCCCCAGGCCTGCTTCTGAAATTTGCCCAGAAGCCTTTACACTTCGGGGAGGCACAGCTTTGAGATCCAAAGGTGCCTTACATTTTAGAAATGAGCATGCACATTGCCTCAAGGAAGGTAGCATTCATCTTTCCACTTAAAAAGAAGTGCTTCACATGATTATGAGCACAAAACACACCAATTATAAAAATTAATGTAGGAGCACCTCGGCACAGCTCATGATCTTACCGTCTTAGAAAACTAGCGTCACATTTTGACATATATCTCTCCAGGTATTTTTCATGTATCTATGCAAGGTACTTCCATATGAAGGTGGGAAGTTATTACAGATTGTTCAGAACACATCTCTTGTACTTCACGTAGTTGGTGTCACTTTCTTTCCTGCCTCTACACAGGTCCTGCCTGTAACATGGCCTTACTGGTAAAATATCATGTGACTGGTAGTTCTCTGTGACATATTCCTGTCCTGCTTTCCTGCATTCCCTGACCACTCTGAGAGTCTGGTGTGGACAATGTCACCAATTTATGTATGTAATTTGTCATGCCTACCTCAAGTCTCCTAAAAATAACAGTCATCTTTTATTGTATTCTTACCCTGTCCACTTGCCTGCATAATGTCATTGGGTCCTTAAAGCAGATCCAACAAACTAAAGTGAATGTGGCTCCCATTTGAAAGGTGAAGAAACTAGAACTAGATTAAGGACTCCACTTGGGTGGCTGAGTTGGTAAAAGGAACAGCCTGGGTGTGAACCCAGGTTGGGCAGGACTAGAGCTCCTGAGTAGTCTCACCCCACCCAGTACTGATACGCCATTCACCAAGAGCAACCAGGTGTGTGTGTGTGTGTGTGTGTGTGTGTGTGTGTATGTGTGTGTGAGAGAGACAGAGAGAGAGAGAGAGAGAGAGATCTTATTCACCAGTAGGACTGTTTTCTCTGTATGTGGGGTGAAAGGCCTTGGCACAAGAGGACACAGTATGGCTTCTCTGCCTGTCAGCAGGAGAGCGGGACAGCCTACCCTGCCCTGTGCTGGGCCCAGCCACACTAGGGGGCTGTGCTTGGGAATTTCTGATGTCCTCTTGAGCCCACTCGGCTGTGGCGACAGAGGGAAGCACTGATGAATGGACTCGAGTCACTCAATTGACCGCCCTTCACCCTCCTGCATTTATTTGTTTACTTTCTACCTCTCATTATGGGCTGCCTGGAAATTGGCAGAGAAGCAGGGAAAATTTATGGATGTGTAGTGCTAGCCTGAGGCTGAAGGCTCAGGCTGCAGACACCAAAAAGCAAAACCAGAATCAGAGCCACTGATGAGGCTCAGTGGCTGGCGCGGCGACACCAGTACTGTCTGGGGTGCTCTGTGTCTGTGCTCACCACAAGGCCAGGCTGGCCCGGGCTCCTGCTCACTCACAGACTCAGAAGCCAGGACAGATGCTGTGCCTGGGAATCAGCAACCTGCACCAGCACCCACCTGGCCTACCTGTCTCACTTCCTCCTTCCCAGCTTCCACGGCCCTGACACCCTGCTTCCTACCCCTCCTGCTGCGGTCCAGAAGTCCTGTCTCCCCTCTGCACACACACATCACCCACCTTTCCAGTTCTCCAGTTAAAGAAGGAAGATGGGATTAGCCTCGGTGAAGGTGAAGGAACAAGGTTGATAAGGTTAATTGGCTGCTAACCACAGCATAAGTGGTTCAGTATGTGATGAGTACTGTGCTGTTCAGCAGAGAGGACCTGAGGCCCTGGCGATGGGTCTGGACCCAGGGGTCACCGAGCCGGTTCTGGCCACTAGCCGAGCAGGAGTGCCAGCCTCTGTTGTGGAGAGCCCGTCCCGTGTGCTTGCTGACTCCCCTTTACCTTCCTGCCCAGCCAGTCAGGCTCCCACTTGGCAGGAGCTCCGCCAGGGAGGGCTGCCTCATTCTTAGCAACCTTGTGCTCATTCAGCCAGCACCAGCTCTGTGCCAAACACTGTCTTAGGCACTCAGAAGTACTCAGAAAGCAGTGTGGGACAGCCCTGCCTGCCAGGAGGGTGTGGTCGGCCTGCAGACCCAGACAGGTAGCTGCCGCAAAGCAGTGACAGATGGCAGATAGGAAAGGGCTTTGAGAGAATGAATGTGATGAAGGGACCATAACTGGGGCTCCCTCGGGTTTGGGGGACCTTCACACGGAGAGATGGGGAGGAACGTGGGGCTTTGTTGTTGACTGTTTACAAGTCACCTACAAACAGGGCAGGACTGAGGCCTAAGTAGGAAGACCATTGCTTTCTGCCTCTATCATACACAGCCACACACCAGAGACTTTCCGTGGATTCCTGCCCTGGCCTCTTGCCTCCTCTAGCCTTGTGCGTTGTCCCAGCCTAAAATCTTAAGTGGTTCCCCGGGAGCCTTTGACAGGAGGGTCTGCACCCTCAGCACCTGTGCCCTTGCCCTTGGCCGTGCCCTTTCTGCTGGTCACAGTCACTTCCTAGCCCTGCTGCGCCTGTGCTACAGCAGCTTCTTCCGGTTCTCTCAGCCAACCGGGTCTTTGCACGTACTGTCCCTCCTCGCGGAAATTCCTCTCTGTTCACCCTCCGTCTCGCACACGCTATGTCCGAGAGGAGTCCTCTTTCAGGAAGGCTTTCTTGACTACACCCTGGAGCGGTCTTTGGGCCCCGGAACCTTCCTGTGACATCGTTTATTCCACATTGTAACCGCATTTGTTGGGACTGTGAGGATGGTGCTGTGCAGCTGGGAGGGCCCAGTCTGTGCTCTCCGGCAGCACTGCATCCCTGGGATCTAGCACAGCGGATCAGCGCCCTATAACCACCAAAGAAAGGGCCCTTGGCCTGCCGGGAGGAGTATAGGTGCAGCTGGAAGGAGAACCCCAACCCCGGCAGCACGCATGCGGCCCACCAGGCCCGAGAGGCGCCTTCCCAGCCAGGAGCGTGTCCGTGTCTTCGGGCCTGACCGGAAGCGCTCGCTAGCTCTGTGGCCCAAGGGCTAAGCGTGCAGACCCTGGAGTGTGACCAGGACGCAGCTCTCAGCGGCAGCAGTATTTTTGTAAGACGCCCCGGAACCAGGCAGCTGTGTGAGGGTTCAAGAGAGGCAGCAAGCAGAAGAAGGGTAAGACGCTGTGTTACTAGTGCAAGCTTGCAGCGCAAGGCCGTGGCGTCCACCGTGGGGGGAGGGACAGGCCCGTAGTGCACCTCGATTCCTCCATTAGCCTCCCCTTTCCTACTCCCCACCCCCACCTCAAGATTTCTTTGCCTTTACCAAAGATCTGTCCCCCTCTCTCCTCTGTACTTTTCTCTTTTGCTTTTAAATTATTTATGATTTGGGGTTGTCACAGAAGAGAAGTTATGCTGTTTAAGCTTGCAGGTCTGATGTATCTCACTTAACAACATGGTTCGAATGCTCCTGCTCGATGACCCTCCTGGGACTCGGGCAGCGCTGGTCTGTCCGATGAGCCAGGGTCCTCCTGCGGCGGCACAGCACCCAGCAGGAAGAGGAGCCGGGACGGCAGGCGACCTGTCTCTAGCCGGCCCTCCGCTTACCAAGCGCGAGTCGCTTGCAGCTCCAGAGGCCTGGCGGCGTTCGCAGCCGCAGGTTAGCCTGAACGCCACGCCCACGTGCACGGCCGCGCAGGCTCAGCAGGGCATGCACTGCGCAGAGGCGGAAGCTATCGTGACGTTTGCATTTCCGGATACGCTATTGATGATTAACACGTACTTTTCCAGTGCTGATTTAATTCCACTTCTGAAAGGTGTCGCTGAGGTACAAAGTGAGATGTAGGCTGTGGCTAACCTTCCAGGGCTGGGCGCCAGGAATCCTGCCGGGGAACCTTTCGCATGATCAGGGCAGCTGCAGTTCACACAGCAAGGGGTGGGCCGGGCTTGGCTTCAGGGCTTTTCACCGAATAACTCCTTTGAGCCTCGTGTTTAAATAGCTCTATAGGGGCTCTGTGTAGCCCATTGCATAGATAAAACCATCGAGGTACGACAACCTCAACCCTCCTGCACGTGCAGTCCTGAAGTGGTGCAGCAGACGGAACCCCACGCCTGGTGACAGAGGTTGCCAATACAGCGTTCCTGTCTCCCGCGACCTTGCAGCCTCCCTCCTCCCCATGAAGGTAGTCTCCCTCTCTGCAGTTCTGTTACCTGGGGTCAAACGCAACCCAAAGAGAACAGAAGGAAAATTACAAAAGTTTTAAAATGTGTATGCTCGTGATGCGCGGCGCTGCGTGTGCTCACCCGGGGAGCTGGGGCAAGCACCCTCTTGTTCCTTTTCTACTTCCCCCGTCTTTCCCCTCCCCCCTTTTTCCTGTATCCCTAGGTCCCTTTTCCACCACCCTGGTAGGTTTTAAATCACTCTTACTATTGCCTTATGTGATTAATCTCTTACTCTAGTGAGTTGAGGAAACCTTATCATGGGAATGGACACATAGGATAAACATGGTCCCGCCAGGGTTTTGTCCCGTCTGTGGCTTTGAGCATGCCCAGGGGTTCGGTACCATCCTTGCTGGGATTGGGGTTGCTGTTTCTCTCCTTTTGCAGACTTGGACACTGATGCAGAATGTGTGATAATTCCCCAGGGCGCGCAGCCACGGGGGTGGACAGGATGTGACTGAGCTGGGGCCTACCAAGCTGGGCACAAGGAGAGCTGGCAACGCCTGGGGCCCAGTGCCTCCGTGCTGACACTCTTTCCCCGTCCTGCCCCCGCTCAGGTGTTTCTGAAGAGCGACCGTGTAGCCCGCATGGTGCAGAGTGGAGGCTGCTCCGCCAACGACTCGCGCGAGGTCTTCAAGAAGCACATTGAGAAGCGGGTGCGGAGCCTGCCAGAGATCGATGGCCTCAGCAAGGAGACTGTGCTGAGCTCCTGGATGGCCAAGTTCGACGCTATCTACCGTGGGGAAGAGGACCCCCGCAAGCAGCAGGCCCGCATGACAGCCAGCGCCGCCTCAGAGCTGATTCTGAGCAAGGAGCAACTATATGAGATGTTCCAGAACATTCTCGGTATCAAGAAATTCGAGCACCAGCTCCTGTACAATGCATGTCAGGTAAGGTGTCCCACACCTGGGCCCAGGGCTGTGGGTCCTTAAATATTACATTTTATGACTATTGGTTAAAGAAAATCTATTATAGACTGGATCATTTCCATAAGGTTTTTTTTTTTTTTTTCATTTTAAAAGAAATTAAAACCATTTGTCAGCCTCTACAAATCTCATGGGCCAAGGGACTAAGATTATTGTGTCTAAGAGGTAAGTGGACCCTATGAGTATGGCCCAGTTTCTGTGTGCAAAATCACTGGAAAATCAAAGTACTCAGTTTATCTTTGAAGGAAGGGATGGCCCAGCCTTGGAAACAGGTGGGTTTATCAGGAGCATTTGCATAGCTCCAGCCAAGGACCCAGCTGGACAGAACACCTGGGGACGCAGTGATGCTTTAAGACAGGACAGACTCTTACACCTGCGTTCATTACATCATGACTTTCCAGGTGCACCTGAGGGGCACCTGACTCTGCCTGGGTGCACCCCCAAATGTGCCTGTGTTCCCTCCTTGGTGGAGGGCTAGGGAGAAAGTATTTCAATGGTGATGCATAACCTTAACTTCCATTCATTCAACACATGTTGTTGTCTACTTTGGGAAGGGTTGAAACTTAGTGCATGTCATTCAGTAGGACTTTTTAAATGTATATGCCCAGCCCACATCACTTCCCGTCCTGGAGACTGTGGTAGGGCCCAGGAATTTGTATTTCCTCAAATACAAGGGCCTCCCTTCCTGCTATTTGTCTGGCCCCGTCTCTCTGAGCAGCTCTGCCCTGGTTCTCCTAGGCCTGGACAGGTTAAATTAAGACACATTGGCGTATTAGCTCAAAATTGCTCTGTGCTGAGCATCAGACAGATTTAGGTACAGGAAATCCAGGTGTGACTCCTCACTGGCGTTGTGGCTTTAGAGTTCAGTTAATATCCTAATTGGAGCATGCAATGATGATCAGTTAAAATACATACTGATTTAACCACATAATGGAACAGAATAGTCTCCATTCAACAAAAGACTTCTTGTAGAAGGTGACTGTTATGGTTTGTGTCTAGGTGTCCACCCAAAGCTTCATGCCGTCATTGAGGTGGGTTTCTAGAGATTGTGATAATTCATGATCCAATGCAGGGATTATGGGTGTGAGTGCTACCCAGGCCTTGGGGTGAATATTCTGCATTACAGTATAAGGAGGGGAGGGAAGCTGTCTAGCTGCTGCAGCTGCTGCCCCTCGGCTCCCACTTTGTTGTTTTCCGCCACAATGGATGCCGCCATCAGCAGCTGCCCTCTGCCGTGTGCTACTCTGCCTTGGAGCCAGCTGAGTATGGACTGAAGCCTCCACTGACTGTGAGCTAAATAGACCTTTAAATCCTGAATTCTGGGTGTTGGATACTTTTCCCCAGCCATAAGAGAAAGATAACTAAGACAGGGACTTACTATGTGGGGCAGTGTACACTAGATATTGCTAAGCTAGATATTCTCCAGCTGTGAAGCAGAATGTGACGGCTTAGCCCCATTTTATGTGGGGACAGTGGATAAAGAGCATTGGATGGGCCAAAATGAAAATGCTAACTGTTTTTTTCTTTACAGGATAGCAGTATGGTTCATTATTGTGGCTTTCTTTTGTGCTTATATATGTATTTACATTTTCTGCTTGAACATGTATTTTGTAAATATATTTTGTATATTTTGTAAATATATGCATATTTTATAAATATAAAACTCTTAACAAAGAAATAAGCAAAACAAGGGGCCAGAGAGATGGCTCAGAAGAATAAGCGCTTCCCTGGCAGATGCAAGGGCCTGAGTTCAATCCCCGGTTACACAAAAAAAAAAAAAAAAAGAAAGAAAGAAAGAAGCAAAACCATAGAACAAGGAGACGTTATCTTCCGGTTGGTTTTCTAGATGTTAGCTGCTCACATCCCACCTTTATGGTTTTTGCCATTTATGAGCATCAGCTATATTGTTATTTAATAATATGTACTAACTCAACTCAAAACACTTTTAAAACCACCTTCATGTTAGGAAAAATTTTATGTAAAACCATAGCTCTGATGTCCTAGCTTTTCTTTTTCTTAAAAAAATGCACAGTAAAAGGAAAAATTAGTATTTAAAAAGCTGTTTTAGATCATCTCACACTGCCAGTGGCATGAAGCCAGTGGACCAAGCCGTGCCCTGATATAGGGGTTCCGGGGCTAGAGACCTCTGATGCCCCTACTTGCCTGGAAGCCGCCTGGAGAGTCTGGTGGTGGAGCCCAGGCAGGCGCAGGAGGAAAACTATAATCAGATTTCGTAAATTACAGATTCATTCACTACAAGCAGCTTTCTTGTAGACTACACTTTGCTTTGCAAAACTGTCAACTCACAAGAGAGAAGACACAGAAATGAAATCATATTGCTTTCATCTTTGCCCTGCTTAAATCATTTTTTGTTTATTTTTATATCACCCCTGCCCCATTTTTCTTACAAGACAAAATAATTTCCTAAATGTTTCCAAATCCCCAAAATATGCATGGCATTTTCCTTTTGTGCACGTCCCGTACATCCTGGGGGAAGCTATAATCTAATTTCTGGTATTGCTTTCTGGAAGTTCTCGTGATCTCTTCTAATGGGGATCTGCCAGTAACTGCCACTTTCATCTCAAATGAGAAATGACATTTATCAGAGAGTGATTATATCACTTACGTAGCAGTTGTTTGTTGCCTACCAGAGCATAAGGAAAAAGTAAGAAGGCTTCACACATATCTCTCCATTTGCACATGGAATTTTTAAAGTCCGTTTTTTTGACTGAGAATGGTTGGATCAGAACAAGTTGCTTATACTCAACAGAACACCTAAAGTAAAATAATTGGCAACTCATTATGAAATCAGCGGTGTTTTTGCTTTTCATAGACCCTTGGGAAGAAGCAGTCAATTACATAGCTGTTTGAGCATTCCATTTGGGTTCTAATTCTAGTACTAACTCAACAAAGCAAAGCTGAGCTTGATGAATCGGAGACCTGGTATTGAGAAGCGTTGTAAGCAAGCTCCCACTCAGCTGTTTCCCTTTAGTGTCCTCCAAATTTCCTATCAGTTTGATGCCCCGCTGTGCCAAGTGTCTGCTGCTTCCTACTGCTCTGTTTAACGTCACATGTTGTCCTTAATTACCTCTTTCTAAGATGTATGGAAACTTCCCTTGAAAACACCACGGAGATGCATTTCAGAAAGAAACAGTCATACAGTGTCTCATACATTTAAATGCAAATAAACTCTTGTGAGTAAGGCACCCCCAGCTGATGCCACAGTGTGAGCGAGCGAGCGAGCGAGTGGAGGAAGCCAGTTGCCTTTGTGTTTCAGTTCTGCTCTTTGGAAATGCCACCGCCACTTGTTCTGTGCCGATCACTTCCTCAGCTCCTGGAACTGTCAGCAGTGTCCCCTGACCTCTTCATAGCCATCTTTGTGCCCGGTAGCTGCAGGGATGGTATGCATGTGCTTGCTCTTCAGAGATGACAACGTCCATCTGTCATTTTTCCTCTCTGATTGCTGAGAGAAGTTTGCCATGAACCTGGGAAAGTTGACTGGAGAGACATGAATGTGCTTCTCTAATCTATAAATACCTCCGCGTTTTCAACATTGAATTCTCCAACATTAATGAACCGCCAATTTTCTTAACATTTCCTTTCCTTTTTTCCAAGCCATCATCAATGCGGCCTTTGATGGTGTGTTTGTCTTATTATAGTCCCATCTTCCTCGGACTCGATTAGCACTTGCCGGCTTTTCAGATAGTTTATTAGACTCTGAGGAGAAAGCTCAAATTATCAGGCTTTCAGCTGTGACCCAGATTGCAGAATTGTATCCTAATTCATTACAGGCTCCTTAATCTCCATATAACTACGTGGCATTTTCCAGGAGCAGAAGTTCCCCAAAAGACCTGTTGGTGGAAAATTTGTTTCTTGGGCCAGACTCTATTTATTAATCACTTTTCTCGGCCTCGTGACAACAACAGCATTCTTTGCATATAATAATATTTCAATAACAAACTACAGAAGAAATACTTTAAAATCTAGGAATGGGGCAGTGGTAGAGCAGTCCATTTAAGACCATTCTCGTATTATGTATTCATTTAACAGCTATCCTACACATTCAGTGTGCCCTAGACGCTGTGCTAAATATGACGAGGATGGAGCCAGAACTTTCTTCCTTGGTCTGCAGTGACATCCCAGGGCATGACTTCTTGCTGTCTTCTTTCATGCCCATGCAGAGCTCCTCATGACTTGATCCTATCCTGCTCAAAATATTGCATCTAGTTTTGCTCTTTCTGTGTAACAAACTAATGTCTTGGAAGAAGACCCAGGCACTGTGTCCCATTATCAAATCTCATAGTTTTTCAGGGTCATACTTCCTGACCTGACTCAGCTGGGTTCTAACTCTGAGTCTCTGCAGACTGGACATGGATGCCAGGCAGCCTGGGTGCACACCGCAGGCCCGGGGCGTGTGTGTGCTGAACTCATACCCATTTCCTTGCTGTGGTGGAGCACTTCAGATTCAGCAACAGAGAGAAACTGGGGCTTTGGGTCTCTGATTTCTAGATCCATTGAGGATCAGCTTCCCGGAATGAAGCCAAAATCAAGAATTAAGTACCTCACACCTGCAGAAGCTCTTCATTCTTGTCATCTGTTAGAATCAGTCCCGCCCTCACTCATGGGAAGGACAACAGGATGTAGTAGACCCTAGCATTGTCTGCCTTGGGTTTCTAGGCACCCTGATTCCTTTAGGTATCAACTTAAGTGCAACTTTCTTGGAAAAACTCTCCCTGACCATTCAACCTAAAGCAGGCTTCTCCTTAACTGTTGGTTTTTCTAGAAGAGTTGTTTATTACCATCATATGATTTGATATAATTGATGTAACCTTGCATGTTGATTTATTTTGCTATTATCTTCCTCTCTAGACTATTTCATTAAGAGTAAGAACCATGACCAACACTTAGTATAATACTTTGCACAAAAAAGATACCCAATTAAATGCTAAACCTATAAGTATAGA